TTTCTTTGTGTTGGTTATCCATTTTTTCTTGCATTTCATCGAGCTTTGTAACAATCCAATTGTGGAATTTATCTGTCATTTTAGTGTTTTGGGCTTGTTCAGACTCCATTCCTTGAGAGCTGGTGTATGTCCTAGAGGAAGTATTTTCAGCTTGATTTTTTGAATTGCGTCTGGCCCTCCCCATCTGGGTCAATTGCTAGAGCTCAATTATCTACTTTTTGTAGTTTCTTGATCAACCACTGGGGGAGCTCTTCCACCACACTTGCAAGGTTCCCCTGACAGGGGTAGCTTTTGGGGAAAGTGGGTTTTCTTGTCTCTCCCCTCCTCCAGGGGTGGAGCCTACCACTTTGGGCAAGAGAGCTGGGGGCTGAGGGGAGGCGGTATGTCAGAAGTCTGCCCTGCACCCTGCACCCGCCCCAGTGTCTGTAACTCCCCTTGGCTGCTAGACTTCTCAGTAGATCCTTGATGGCGCCAGGCCTGATGAGCCGATCGCAGATTGTGTAGGGGCGGGATTTGCCAGGGGAAACTCTAGGCTGGGCGAGGGCGGGGGACTTGCCCGCTGACGGCTGGGGTGTGGCCCCCCTCAATGGCAATCGCTAGCCCACTTGTAGGGCACCAGGTCCGGGGGCGACTGATTAGGGTGCAGCCGGTGCCAGGTTGGGGGCCTGGGTCAATAGGACGCCTGCAGGTTCCTCCAGGCCGCCTGCCCGACCGCCTGTTCAGTGGGAGCCGACGCTTTTACTGACCCGCCCTGTGCGGTTTTATTCGCCCGGGGCAGTTCCAGCTTAGAGCCCCCGCTTACTCTCCCTGGTTACGCGGGGAGACCTCTAACCGCCTCCCGGGTCCACATAGATCAGTTTCCTCCCGTCCTGGAGCCGTCCTGGCACGGGGCTGGGGGGACCACGCCGCCGCCTCTCACCATCAACCGCACCCTCCAGCAGCCTCTTCTGCGTCTGCGACTTCGCACCAGGTTCAGACAGGTCCCTGGCGGGGTGGGTGTGGAGGTCGATGGGGAGGCAAGGAGTCCTCCTGTGGGTCTGATCCCACTGCACCCCCTGGCCGGCGCCCTCCCCCGTGCCCTGTTGTTAGCTTTGCACTCTCCAGAGAACGCGATCTTACTTCCAGATGGCCTTGTTTATCCTTTTATGAGAGTCCCCCGTTGCTCCTCTGCAGATCTCAACGCTGTCCTTGTAGTGGGGAGATCCACTCGCGCGTAGGAGACCAAGATCTGTGCCCCCTTCTCTGGGAGCAGGAGTCCGGAGAGTCACCTCTACTCCGCCATTTCTTCTCCTCCTCAGTTTTAGGATATTCTTTTGGCCAAGAGGGGGTCCATTCCGTCAGCCTGTGGGGTGTGAGCCTTAAGGTTTTATTTTAGTTCACAGGTGCATCAAGAAATTGAGAGTAGCTGACTGCACGGTCCCGGCTCAGGGTTGCCCCTGAAGCTGCAGCCACACTGCTGTAGGAGGGGTGCTGCCTTCAGAGTCCAGAGCAGGTGGCCAGACCCTGGTCGGGGGGCGGTGGGGGGAGACTGTCCCCTGTCCCTGACCTCTTTAGGGAATGTGGATGAGCTAAGGGCAAAGGGAGAGCCCCCCTGTCGGGCAGCATCCCTGAGTCAGAGGGAAGGCTCCATGGGATAGTGGGCCAGCAGTGGGCCCTGGGGACACCCCCAGCCTGTCTGGGAGGGACATAGAGTAGGGGGCTCACAGAAGGGACAGGACAGAGGACACTGCCCAGAGACCTGAGGCATCTTGGCAGCTCCATCACTTTGGCTGTCAAGCAACTCAGAGGTAAACCCTGAGCTGAGTTTTGCGGCTAAGAAGTTTGAGGCAGGTGTGTTTTCTTCCTTCCCATCTGTCTTCTTGATAACCCTGATTTGGGGGGGATTTTTCTTTTGTTTTGTTTTTCTTACCCGAGGCAAGTTCGGCCCCGGGGCTTCCAAATATCATGCTAGTGGAAAATGAGTAATTATTTCTCTTTATCAGTTCATTCTACATTTACACAGATTTCTTGGTCTCTCTATGTGTAATTGACCAAATTTCAGGCAGGGTATAGATAATATTTACCAAGTATATTTCTATATTCTATATTAATTGAAATTACAGCCACTGGCTTAAGTCTCTGCAGGGTAGGGTAAGGGGAGTGTTGCACTCTTGAAATAGCTTCTGTAAGGTGCCTGCCCTCCCTGCAATTAGGTAAGTACCTGGGCCTTGTCTCCACCTGTAGTGTTTTCCTGTTTTTTCCTACACAATGAGCAGCTGTGTTTACAAATTTTCTTGCACTCTGGTAAGATGAGAAAATTTTTTCAAAAACACTAATGAGGACTTTAGTGTGGGTTCTGATCCCTTCTGACTGGTGTCTTCTTAGGAAAAGAAAATTTAGAGCCACAGAAGGAGACACCAGAGATGAACAGGCAGAGCAGAGGCCGTGTGAGGACACAGGAAGAAGGTCGCCCCTGCAGGCCAAGGACAGAGGCCTCAGGAGAAAGCAGGATGCAGACACAACTATGTTCTTGCAGCTTCAGAACTGCCAGAAGGTGAGCGTCCCTGCTCAGGCCACTGGGTCTTTGGCACTTGTGAGGGCAGCACTAGGGAAGGACATGGACAGGGACCCTGAGGCCTGGGAGGAGGGAGGAGGAGTCAGGGCTCAGGTGGGGGCAGGGCAGGGAGGGGGAAGGTCAGGCCCCCAGGGGAGTCTCCTGGAGGACCCTGACTCCATCTCTGCTGTCTGGGGACCAGGGGAAGTATTTCATCTCCCAACATTGACCCTGATGAAGGTGGCCCAGGGCATAGGGCTCCTCGTCCTCTTCTTCCATATTATGAAAACGTGTTTGAGGTTAGACTGGGAAATCACTCACCAAAGCATCTGGCACATACTAAGTGCTCAGAAGTAGTCACTGTGCATGATCCAGTGACACACGTAGGGTGACATTCCTCCCGTGGGCAGCAGGAGGCACTGTGGGCCTGCGTTTGGGAACCGAGTAGCTCCAGTCCCCTGGTGGAGCTCAGGTGCCCAGGACAGGACTGAGCTTCCTTCCAGGTCCTTCTATGAGGTGAAATCCACTCTCCACTCCTGACTCCCACCTGACCCTTTAAAGAACTGCAGAAATGACCAGCGGGGGCCCCGAGGCTCAGGGTTGGACAGGATCTGAGAGTCGCTGGGAATGGAGAAGCACCTGCATCCTCTGCTCACCAGGCAGCCCAACAAGCCACAAGAAATGAGGAAGCAGATTTGCATGAAGGGCCTCCCCTCCTGTGATAAGCCAGCCCCGCAGGTCCCTCCCCAGCTGTGGGTCAGAGGCAGAGCTCCGGGTGTCACCATGGCCTGGACCCCTCTCCTGCTCCCCCTCCTCACGCTCTGCACAGGTGCCGCCCCAGGCTCGGCCCCCACAGCACCAGGGCTCAGCCTGGCCCTGAACTTCACCCCAGCACAGGGGCTGCTGCAGGGAGTGGGGCCTTCTGGGAATGAGACCGTCACCCTCAGACCCCCCTCTCCTGTCCTCTCTTGCAGGTTCTGTGTCCTCTCAGCTGACTCAGGTACCTGCAGTGTCTGTGGCCTTGGGACAGACGGCCAGCATCACCTGTCAGGGAGATGGCATAAGGAGCTATTATGCAAACTGGTACCAGCAGAAGCCAGGCCAGGCCCCTGTGCTGCTCATCTATGGTGACAACAACCGGCCCTCAGGGATCCCTTAGCGAGTCTCTGGCTCCTATCGGGGAACACGGCCACGCTGACCATCAGCAGGGCCCAGGCTGACAACCAGGGTGACTATCACTGCCAGTCGTTTGACAGCCGTGGTACTCTCCCCACGGTGACACAGGCACATAGGGAAGTGGGACACAAACCTCTTCAATGTCTGTGACACTCTCCTTCTCTAGCCCAAGGAGAAGTGTGGACGGATCATGGCACGTCGCTCAGATCTGGCACTCCCAGGCTGCCTGTCCCTGCAGCCCTCCAGGCAGGTTCTGCACAGCTGGGTCAGGAAAGATTCGGGCTGTCAGGCCTTGGTGCCTGGTACTGCGTGCACCAGAGTGAGACTGGGGAGAAACGATTGTGACTATGATCAAAGGAAGGAAGGAGCGAGGGACACAGGTTTCACGTGGTTCTGCGGCCTGGATACCCATACATGGGGTGACTGAGCCTGGCCCTATGCCTCTGCTCATGCCCAAATATCCCAGAATATTCCTCTGAGGCACCCAAGGTCGCCCCCAGCTAAACCGTGCAGGGCTGGGACTCCGAGCAGAGAAGACCAGCGTGGTGCTCGCTGCAGATCTGCTCCTCAGGGGGACCCGCCGGCCCTCTGCTGCTGGGGTCCCGGGAAGCTCCCGGCTGCGCCCCCGTGGGAGTTGCTCAGGCTGCAGGACTCCCCCACCCCGGTTATGCCCCGTCTCAGAGTGTGGCCAACAGCGAATAATCGCCTGAGATCCCCATACCAAGGCCCTGTGTCAGGGTAGCATGAGCTTGGAAGGGCCTCCCAGCTGGGGCCTCCATCGGAGCCGCTTTCCAGGTTCCCAGCTCTGCCTCCCAACCTCCCTCCAGAGAGAATATCTCATATCCCCCTGCATGCAGTTTCCCTCTCGGAGTCTGATTCCACAGAACCCAAAATACAGAGCACCCTACAGGGAAGAGTATGGAAGAAGAGAGAGCTGCTCAGAGTCACGGCCTTTGAATCTGCAATTATTCCTGAGTGCTAATGAGCATGTGTGGAAGGAAAAGAATCACCCAAAGACATTTGAGGGAACATTTGCAGGACAGAAACACACACACACAATCTGGACTGTGCTTGTTCCTACAACCAGAGTGGACAAGCACCTAATTAGGGGCACGAAACTGACCTGTTAGAAGAGCCTGGCCCACTACCAGGGAGACACAGCTGTGGTCCAATGTCCTCTCCTCTCCCAACGAGGGCAGTCTAAGATCAATGTGATTGAGGATCAAACTGTCTTCTAGTTACCTCTCTGAATATAAGAACAAAAAGCAAAAATATAGAGAGAAATACAAAAATGCCATGCACTCCACAAGGAAAAGTTCACACTGTCTAGCATGATGTCTAACTTCCTTCAAGGAAACAGGAAAATATAAAACATAAGGAGCAAGTAAGTTGAGCATTCTGTATTGGCTCTGAAGGTGCACAGGGAGTAGACGTTCTAGATTAGGATGCAAAAGAAGGTATTATAATCGTATCCCACTTGTTCTGGAGGGTACAGGCTTCACTGAACATGTTAAGGGAAAAATCTAAAGACATAAACAAAACAACTAAATTGAATTTCTGGAAATGACCCCCAGAAAGTGTGTGATAAAGGATACACTGAATGTGACTGACTGCCTAGTAGATGCTTCCAAAGAAAAGATTGGTGAAGCAGCAATAGGAACACTTGGTAACGACACACAGGAAAAATATCGAAAATAAAAAGAACAGCACAGCGGTGAGTTATAGGACAAATTCATCCAGCAAAAAATGATATAGTAGGAGTCACTGAAGGAAAGAACTGGGGGAAATTGATCAAAAACTATTTAATGAAATCATCACCAAAATGATCCAAATTTCTTAAAAATTATAAACCTACTGTCCCACGAATTGCAACTAAACCCAGGATCTAAATACATTCAGAAGTCTAAATACATTAAGAAAACTCAACAAACACACACCTGATCAAATGACTAAGGAACAGCGATGCAGGGACACTATTAAAGGGGAGGCGGGCATGGTGGCTCAGACCTGTCACCCTAGCACTGGGGGAGGCTGAGGTGGGAGCATGGCTTGAGCCCAGGAGGTTGAGGTTGGTGTGAGCTATGAGGTGCCACTGCACTCCAGCCTGAACAACAGAGCAGGACCCCGTCTTACAAAAGAAACAAAAACGATGCAAACAAAAAACTCCAAACCGACCAAAGAGAAAATACATGTTAGCTATAATAGGGCAACAAGGGCAAACTTCTCATTAGAAGCAATGCAGGCAAGAAGACAGGGACCTGCACCTTGAAATGCTAGAAGAAAAAACTGTCACCTTGTATTCTTTGCTCAGTGAAATATCTTTCTAAATGTTGACCCCCCTCCCCCAAAAAACTTTTCCAAATATAGAAAAACTTCCAACACTGATCTTCTGCACACCCTTCCTAAACAAAATAATAAAGGGCTCCCCTCACACAGAAGAAAAATGATACCAGAGAGAAAAGGGAATCTACATGAAGAAATGAAAAGTATTACATATGGTAACTACCTAGATAACTATGTTAATATCGTATAATTACAAACGTAAGGACTGGAACAGCACCACAGAACAGCTAGACTTAGACAAATACACAACTCTCCATACCAGAACAAAATAACTTACCACCCAATGCAATCGCTATCAAAATACTAGTGACATGTTTCACAAAAACAGAAAATAAATCCTAAAATTTGCATGGAATCACAAAAGACCCCAAATAGCCAAAGCAACACTGAGCAAGAAGGAAGCTGGAAGCAAGCATGGCGCTCCCTGACTTCCAGTATACTACGAAGCTATAGTAGCCAACACACCATGGTATTGGTGTAAAGACAGAGACAGACCCAGG